TTTGTGAAAATTTTCGTCTTGATTACTTCTGAAGTTGTGTCCACTCTTCTACATCCATGAATGAATTGATTGATGTTAAGGACAGCAGATGGGTCGTATAAGCCGGGGAGGCTAGGCTATTGCTGAGAATGAAATGCACACGGAGATAATTGTTAGCTGCGGTTCGACACGCCGGGGAGAAAGAGTGTAAACGACTGAGGCTCGCATGCGTCACCGCTACTAGAACTGAGGCAGAATGAGTGACAAGCGATTTCAGTGGTAATTGGTAGTGAGTAGATAAGACGATGTGCGTAGAGTATCATGAGTTGGTGCTATGGTCACTTTGCATTCTGCAAGAGTCATTCTAGTAAGTGGCGATTGTGTTGGAAGATGTCAAGAGGAGGTCTCTGTCTGGAGGCGCAGGTAGTCATTGATGTGTGAGATTGTGCTGTGAGTATGCTTGTGGTGTGTTGGCTTTTCTGTTTGTTTTCCATTTCAGCTCTGTCCGTGTGACCAAGGTTCTCGCAATGGCATCCAAGTCAACGTGCATTGGTCGTGAAGGAAAAAAGGGTTGGATCCCTTTTTTGCCGGGGAGTGTCAATGTAGTTGAAGATTGGACGATCAATTCTTGGTTGTTTGCTCAAAACCAACTTCCCCAATTTTCGCGGAAGCATCAATACGACAGTCATCGTCTCATCGGTCGCTGTTCAGAAAGAAGAGTGAAACATCGTCAGAAGTAATACAATGATTTATTATTGTAATATTTGTTTTCAGACCTTAGTTCACTTATTCTTTTTATATGTTGGTGTAACAATACAGAAATATCAAACGGCAGATCGGTGTTTTGGTTTTTGCGTCCGTTATTACTAAGCGTTTCTGAAATCTTCAAGGAACAGCGTGGGCCTGAGCGTAGCGAGAGCTGGGCATTAACGGTTTATGAGACGTGATTGACATAGCTAGTGATCGTGCACGTTACACGACGGGGTACCAAATGGCGGGGATGCTTGACCAGAAGCCTTCAGCTAAATATGTCGACTTAAAAAGTGGTGATCAGCATCCAATGAGTGATTGCTGTGGTCAATAGTTTTGGGGAATTATTTACCGCTACGAAACTTTATAGCCGACTGTTCCGACTGACTCTAATGTCAGAAAGAACAACCAAACTGTAAATTCATCATACATCAAATTGTGTGTAATTTATATAATAACTTATCCATGCCTGTACAATTGGTACGTTCCTGCATGAACAGGAAGAAATATACATTATTATCAAGACAAATATGGTGGACAGGTAATAACGATAGCTTTATTCTGGAAAATGCGCTTATACACAATACAGAATTTTCAAGGAGTTTCTTGGCAACGTATTCTCCTCTTGTGCGGAATCTTCAAAAGATATAACAATCAACGATGTCAACTAAAGTAATATAATTCCATCCAAAATATGCTCCGATGCTGCTTTATGATGTTCTTCTTTATTTCCTTAGAAAAACCGGCGGTAGGTAGATGCTTATTCAAAGTTGCTCGTGAGTATATGTTACGATCGCTGTGGAAATTGGAAGATTAAAACAGGTTGAAGCGGAATCAGAACGATACATTTCGATAGACAGAAGGTGCAGGTAGTCCAGAGATTTAAGAAGGCCGATGTGGTCTTTGGAACGTTATGTCTGCATACATGGTCTAGTAATGGCGAGAAGTGCCGTATGCTCATTAGAGTGAGAGTAAATTACGAGACGACCCCACCTGGGCAGAGTAAGCCTCCAGGCCCTGCCTAGTATGATAAGTGGTGGACTCATAGAAATTGATGGAGTGAAAGCTTAAGTCAGTGTTGTGAATTTCGCGGGATCTGTGTGAGTATGCCGCAGCTTCAAAACCAAAATTTTGTAAACATTAGTGTGAATTCCATGAGCTCGTAACCATAGTGGACAACCTATTTAGGTCCATTGTTACTATCGTTGAAAGATTGCTTTTGTCTCACCAAGATGAGAAGCCTAAGCTACCAGAGTTTAATTTTTGTATAGTAGTAGAGTTATTAGTTGTAGGGATAGTGTAATAGTTCTGCTGGCTACTAACTCTCCGCGTATTCTTCCCTAGAAAACTACAGTGCTTGAAAGCAGGAGATGCAAGAGCTAAATGCCTCTCACTAATACCTTATTTAGGTTACTACCTGAAAAATATATATAAAGTGAATACACATGGACTCGTCCGGTGTAGGACTGCCAGTAAGCGAGAGTATCGTTGCGTATGTAAGAATAGTGACAGATTAAGACACTCCTCTGCCTCCAATGATGGGCTATATTTTCACTTAAAATACCCTGGGATCAGCAGTCACCACAGGACTTTGGTTCGCCAATCAAAGAAGGTTTATAAATTGGGGCTGATTAAGATACGGGGCTATACCAAAGGACTTCTCGTAAACAAGTGGAAAAAGCGGCAAAAGTGACTGCCTTTTTGATCTGCTTGATAATTGAAATGCTGGGGATGTTGAGGTCAACGGATAGTACGAAGTATATTAACACAAGATTTAATACCCACAACTTCTACAGTATTCGTTCCTCGTCGACCAAAGACGAAGGAAAACGGCAGAAATGATCGTCCAAATTACGGATTATATTTCGGGACCAGATCAAAGTGCGATGGTGATTGCTTAGCCAGTCAGAGGTCATTCACGAACGAACGTTACGCGATGGTGCGCCAAATGGCATGGATGATTGACCATAGGCTTTCAGCTAAACAATTCAACTTAAACAGTGGGGGTTAGCATCCATTTTTCAGTGATTAGTGCTGTGACTGAAAATTCCGGGCAGTTACCTGCGGCTACAATGGCTTATGTATTCTCTGATGACCTTAAATGGTTTTGGTAGACTTCTCTGGAGTTTTCTTAGGTTTGGAATCTATACACATGAAGAAGGGAGACGGCCCGTCAAAAGCTGCTTCTAAATCTTATTTACATGCCGCTGATGAACCATATCCGTGTACGTAATCAGCGATGCCCGAAACCATAGTCAAAATGTTGTTAGTGATGTTCCCTTTGTTACTGAACCGGTGAAAGTCTTTAAGAGATTGTAAGGATGTCGTTATTAGTAAGGTCTTAGAAACCGGCCTTAAAAATTTCGTCAAGAACTTCCGTTCTGTTACTCTAATGAGGATCATTGTAAATTCACTAGAGAAAATTATCTAGCATGTTTTATTCATGTTGAGGGTAGTAAAACTTTCACCTACCGAACAGTATAGCTGTAGGACGGGTCACTACTATTTGACCAACATTCTTTTGGTCTTCTGATTAGTCATCCGGTAAGTTCAGGTACATTTGACACCAATAAATTAGTGATAAACTTGAATCAGGGTTTTATTAAGTATAGAAAACAGAGAGCAAGATTTTAACAGGATGTTGTTATCGTTACAACTGGTGAAAAACGGCTTTCCTTAAGGCGCACTTTCGGGAATTCTCCTCTGCCGCGTGTATGCAGATTAGATACAATTAACAACTGACTGGTCCTGTCGTCAATGTCTTCAAGCTCAAGGGGGTTTTACACGATTAGTAGGATTGGTTCGATCGTTTAAACATTGGCATTTGAGAGCGAATACGAGAGGTGTGGTGGATCTTTTACTCTGTTAGCTTAGTATCCCAAATTCAAATAGAAAATAAAATACCAAATCAGTTTAGTTACGGGAAGAATATATTAAAGTTTCGTTACTTGGGTTTACAAAGATCCAAAATCCACAATAAACGTAATAGACTCCAGGTGCTGCGGGAAGACTGCTCCAGTACTAATTCTCCAATGTTGACATTGCCGGAGGTCGACCAAAGTACGTAGAAAGAAACTACAGTGTTCCTGCAAAAAATTTGCGATAGAAAGCAAGTGGTTAGAATTGATTGATGGCAGTTGGGATGGTGGAGAAGACGGAGAGTCGGCGGCAGGACTATATATTTATTCAAAACCCGAGGCAAAGTTCAAAGTACAGAGTTTATGGTTAAAACAAAGTAATGTACGATATGTTCATTTCTTACATAGTAGTAAAAATTGGATAAGTTTATTTTTGAGGACTCCACAGCGGTACTTTAGTTATGCATATCTTTCACAGCAACATACACAAGTATTCGATAAATGACTTTGCCCTAAAACAACTACTGACTATAGGGACTTATAGATGGTTGCATATTATGAGATAAAGACCTCGATTACTCGAAGGTGACTTTGAAGAGTTTAAGAGTGATATGGGCTCCCCACGAGGCTTTTGTAGGCTTTGATGTTGATATATTCTTCATGTTACTTTCGGGCCTAGTTTGAAATACAGGAGCCAGGCAACTACCCCATTCCTCTCATGTGAGTAGAGACTGGGCCGACCACACTTATTCCCATGGTCACGTGGGCGGTTGGCAGGAGGTCCTGTACTGTCTTAATAATTCCTTTCACTGGTACCGAGCGATTGCAGAACATCGCCTTAATTTTCAGAGACCACAGGTAAGTTGTCAATGAGAAGAGTTTCGTTTTCTGCATCGAGTTGCATACCAGGAGCACATCACTTCACTATTTGCTGCTGATTCACTTTGAGCCTCCACTCTGCAGTAAGTCTGAGGGACTGAAATATGATTAGAGCTGACTATATTTGTTGGCCTGGAAACCCCTGAGATGCTAATAAGATTTCTCTTAATTCGACGATTGAAAAGCCGGTGCAGAGCAGAAGGAAGGAGTTAGTATTGCACGTTACAACCATTTTTAAGAATAATTCAACAATTATTATACCACAGTGACAGTGAACTAGAATACCTGTTTGTCTTCCTCGCTCAAATGACGACCTAGAGTGAGATGTCTTGTGCAAAGACAATATGAACTTAGCGCTAAATTTTTCAACATATGGTTAATCTTTTAGATACATTTTAAATAAATTTTTATTCATGAAATTTACTTACTAGTTCACCATCCTAGTGCAATGCGAGTATTTTGTTTGTTTCGACTGTGCCTAGTGCACATCTGATTGCCTTGTCCGGTTTGGCTGGCAGGGGAACTATTGTCTTTCATTACCGGTTATCTTTCAGAATGGTGAGTTAGTAAATTAACTTGATTGTGACACTGATCGCAAAAATAAGCATTACTACACATCCTTCTGTATTGTGTATTCGTGTGTGACAATACCGTGTACTAATTGACTGGTGACGTCTTGAGTTTGGATTCCATCTTAATTGTGAAGATATTCACATATGACCCTAGGAGTTAAAAGTTTATTGCAGTATGTACCTTCTTAATTGGGTTAGAACTTCCTATTTTAATATTTAACAAATGTGACGGAAAATATGTAGTATCTAGTATCATTCGGATTCCTCAATGGTGTTCACAGTCAACAAAGAATATTTGGAAACCAACGATTGGTATGTGATAGTGCTACCATAATGCTCCTCATTTTCATGGGCAAAGAACTGTTTCAATACAGGCCTTAGTCGTATGTCACTCCGACATCCGTGATCTCAGGCGCAAGCGTAATATTTATATATTCATTAAAGGAAGTCTGTATTATGCAACATTTCGCCTTGTTTTTCTTTACGACAGCACGATATGCCTGTGGAAAGTGAAAAATAAGGATGAGACTAGCCGTATTTGATCATAGGTGTATACGTTCCACCTTTTGTCAGGTGGTATAATATGGTCAGTCGCATTGAGGTTATGCGTGGTATGGTAAGAAGAAAAACAAGCCAGTAAAGTTTTGGAACCTCAGTTTAATTATTTTGGGGTGTCGTATAAGCCCGAATGGAGTAACTGCTAGCGAAACCTTGTGACGAATACAATAGACCCGTGTGGTATTTTCCAACTTAAGTCATTTGTGGTGTAGCTGTGATATCCGGTTATCGAGGGAAAGACGTTCACTGTGTACCAGTTCGCTCTGTCCTTCTTTATGACTGAGGGATTTCCATTGAAAGTTGGAGACATAGGGAAGCCTGCTGTCTTTGATCTCAGATGTTCGTTCCGTGTTAAGTGGTACTATATGGGGAATAATATTAAAGTGAGACGTAGTGTTAGGTTAGGAGGGAAAGTTAACCAGGGAGGTTGTGGAAATACACCGACCGAAATAACCAGATAACGTCAAACATGTCAAACCATTACCTTCCTTGACTAGTAATGTTAGTTGACATAGGAATAGGTTTGCAGGAATTATCAAAAAATGGCGCATATTCATGTAGTTTTTGACTGTTTGAGCCTTGTAGAGGGATGTAAATTGTCTCGTCGATGCTAACGATCAGCGGTTAAAGGTTTAGCGAATTGGCCCAGAATCATTTTAACCCTCTGTGATTGTATAGACCGCAAGTGTCCGTGTGGTTGTTGTCTGCTATACACTCCCGTTTGTTGTAGTTATGTTGCGTTTCTTTTCCACATCTTCGTTTGTGCTTGCGTAAATTGTATTAACTCGAATTGGTGCACTTTTACTCAAAGGTTTGCGGTAAAAATCCGGACCTAGGTGTTTAGGTGATTCAGATATTTTGTTTGGGATGGCCATTTTACTTTTCTGTGAATACTGGATAGTTGTCTGAACTCATTAGGAAGAGGAAAGATGGGTAACTCAAGTCTTGAGTAAATTTTTTTCCGTGGTTGAAAGTACAAAAACTTTGTTCAGAATCCATCTTTAATATGGTAAAAGATAGTCATCAAAACGATCGTGTTTGTAACTGTTCTTTGATCTCCAGCCAATAAATAAGTTAGCTCTTAAGCAATAGCTTACCATTTGTACACTGTTTTTTAGTCTCACTTTAGTTGATTTCGCATACGGCGATGGATGCTGTCGGTGATTCTAGTAAGCGTTTTGCGAATCCCCCTTGTAGTTTAAAGACCTGAAGTGCTGCCTCGTGGGAATGCTTCATGGATTTCAAGTTGTAACATGACTCGTTAGTCAGCGTTTCACTCAGAGTAGAGGGAGCCACTATCATAGTTGTCGCTACTTGTTTCCTTTATAAATGTCAGCAAACTCCTGAGATTTATTTAATTATATTCCGTTGTCTCTGAATCAGCTCTAAGTATTAGGCATATTAATTTATAGGAGATATCTTGACGTTGATTTATTTGTGCTCAAGACAATTAGTGGTGACTCAATTATCGGACTTGGTGACCCTACTTTTCCAGCACCGCAAAGCTTTTTTATTACCTTCTGTCTCTTTCCAACAAGCAATCTACTTGAAAGTGGATTTCCTGTTAGGGGGAGTTGTATGTTTTGAAAGATCACAAAAAGACCAGATGGAGTTGTGAGGACTCATGTGCTTGTGTCTATTGATATTAGCATTTTAGTGTAGGATACCCGATCTGTATTCACGTAGCCTTAAGAATCTGTAAGTCGATACTCTAAAGAAGATGGTCTCAGATTAGTTGCATGCATTTTGTCTATCTTTAATGACAATTTCTTTTTTCTACATTGATCTTAAATCATTTAACGACCCTCATATCTCATGTTCACTTTTTTCTCATTTCATTGTTTTCACATTGATTTACAGATAAAAGGTGTGGTAACTGACTACATTTGTCAGGGGGAATCACAACCATATATGCTTAGATTTTTGCTCAAGTTGTTCCAAAGGTTGCATTTTGTCAGCATCTTGACCTACACGAACTATGTCATCCATGTATTCTAGGTCAATGAGACTTTTGTGCGATGACAAGTTGACCTCTAAGAAGTCGAAGTCGACCAGGGTCACGTCCATCAATAAATCTATAACGAAATTAAGTAAGGATGGTCCAAAAATGGACATACATGATGGGCACCATTGTTGTCGCTTTTGTTGACAGACATTCTTAAGCTCTTAAAGAGCTGCATGGGTTCGAGTGAAGCTCCATGACACCTACCACATACAATACAATTGCTCCAGAGCGAGACATCGCCATAGAACCTCACAATTGATGGAGTGAAATGCTGCCTTTTGAAGATAAATGGCAAGTGTTGGAAACCGGTAAGTAAGCCATATTCCGAAACCTGTAAAAAGATGAAGAAACGATCAGTACACCTTCCGGGTCTAAAACCCGCCTTCTCTTGAGTTTATTTTTTCACTGTCTTTGCAAGACTATACCACCTCCCTAGAACTTTACATAATATTTTGGTCAAGCTAATCCTCCTGTAGTTATCACAAGATTTGTCTCCTTATAAACTGGGACAGTCGATGATAGACACCATTCCGTTGAAATTATCTCTGATTTCCATATGCAAGCTAATCCCATAATAAATGTAGGTAGTAATTTATCACCATTCTTAAATACCTCACTTCGTCTTAGGCCGAGCATCTGCATTCGAAGAACTCGCTCACATCATATAACTAGAGTAGGATTATTGGTAAATATAGTGCAGGTGAATACCATTTCGTTGTCCATCAGCTAACTATAATGCCACTTACGAGCTAGGTGGAATGACCAGTGTACTCAACCACTTCATTCCCTGTAGTATGATCGGGTGTTGGGCAGGTTCGCTAATTCGTTGTTTGGTGTGTCAGTAAATGTCTTAAGAAACTAAAAGGTGTCTTTCTGTACGACTATCAAACATGATTAGTGTGTAGTTTTGCCAAACATCTTTAAGAAGGTATTCTTAGCATTGATTACGTGGTAAGAGTGCTGGAGTTAAATGTATAATTGTATTCAAGTTTAGGCAGCTTTACTTCTTAACCGCACGGGTAAAATATTAGTAAATCTAAATTATACATAGAGTACAAACACTTCATTTGAAGTGAAATTCGAATAAATATATACCACTCAGTAGTTTTGAAGTATTTCACCTTGGATCTCTTGGCATTCACAAATTATTTATTGACCTCAGCTTAGCTAACCTACGATCTCCCCAATTATTTTGACTAGGGGTCAAAAGGTATGGATTGACTTATCAACATCTTGGCTTTTCATTTTAATCATTTGTCAACGCTTTTCGAAACTAATCATGGTGTGGTATGTGTTCAGAATGTGTAAAATAGATGGAATCCTCCGGACGGTGGACACCAATGGCTGGAGACAATTGGTGATGTGGCTCAAAATCGTTCTCAATGGCGCATATGCTTCCACTCCTTGTGACTTATAATTTCCAATAAGACTATATTGTTCTTCGATATTACTATTCTTTTTGCCTCATATCTCTGTTTACTGTTTCTATTCCGCGTTTCTTTTTACTTTCTTCTCTGGCTTTGTGTGCTGAGTGAAGTGTAGCGACTCAAGCTGCTGCACACCGGTGCAAAGTTCTATGTTGAAACCAGACAGACAGACAGTAAAATAGATGTAATCGTAATCCGAAAACTGATAATTTGTACAGTTCTGTCCAAAAAACTACCTGTTTCTTGTCAGCACTGGTTCTATTGGGAGATCACTGACCTTAATAATCAATTGCTTTAGAAGGAGATTATTACTGCTGCAAAACTTGATCAAATGGCAGCTACTTGTTTCGTTCTTGTTTCACAGACACCTGTTTATCATCCTTGGCTTACTCATTCCTTTCCTGCGTGTTGGTGCTTCGTGTAGAACCTGTCGTTCCTTTGTCTTTGGCGCAGACATGAATACCTTCGGTGACATTGGTAGACCTTTGTGGCACCACCATGCAAATAATTAAAATGTTAAGCGTAGATAAGCAAGCAAACGAACTGAGTCGGTTGATAAAGTTGTGAACCCCTTTGTACTGAGGTGATTGGAGTGTGCTACACAAGCCTTCACTATTCTCATCCTCTTTCGCCAAACAAATTAGGATTAGGGAAGAAATCCATAAGTGTCCTGAAGAGTAAATTTTCACCGGAACTGTGTAGTACAGTGTACATATGTATTGTCCAGTGAACAACAAAAACCGATGGTTATGAATTGTCAGTGGTGAGAATAGGAATTTATTGTAATAGTACTGATACATATATTCTGTCTTTATCTCACTGCTGTATTTCTAAATATGTTGTGATCTTTTTTATTTTTGTTAAAGATGTAGGTGGTATTATTAATTTATTCTTTCCTTTTGTTATCTTTCACCTTAATAATCTGATGTATAGTATGGCCAATATTATTACACGGTTATAGCAGATCCTATATTGACGATATTTTTCTATCATCGTAAGGTTTGTGACAGAAAGCGCATCTGATCTCCAAACTTTCTTAGGAAGTTGCACTGTCGTGCAACTCATCCCAGATCACTGGGATCACAATTTCACTCCACCTACTTGCTGTTTACAGCATCTATACAGACGGAAGAAAACGAAGCGCACTTGATGGCATGATTATTGGACACAAAAATAAGCGAAGTTGCATGTACAAGTTCTACAGGTGGTACAGTACTGTTAGAGGAAGAATTGATAATAAAAGAGGTTTGAAAGTAAACATGTGAAGCTATACTGATCCCCCGAAGTCATTGTTCATCTGGATTGGGGAATGCATCCTTTCTCCTCTGCTCCTAAAAGTCTTAAGATTAATCAATACAAACCAGATGAAATGACTCAAAACTGTTTTATTAGCGGATACTTTCTAATTGTGTGTAAACTATGGACATTTTCTTTTTGACAGGTGCTGTTTTGTTTTATTCATGTGTGGCCTACTTTTGGTTTAACACTTTCATCTATCGGCTTTTAATTCTGTAGCACTCAGTACAACAATGTCAATGTGCATTACTAGATGGGATTTCTCTCTAACTTCGTGATGTTAGTAATTGCTAGAGTCCTGTACATCTTAATTTTATTCAGAAAGTGTATCAGTATTATCAGTTTATTTGTTTTCTTAACCTACTTCTCAAAGAGGAATGTCTGTTGTCTGAAATGGGATTCTAAGGGTGTGGTTCCGTTCTTTTTGGTGTTATTTACTACCGTCGTATTAACAGACTATTCAGAGGGTGAACTGTGTGTAAAACTGACTGGTCTATTGAAGGAGCTACAGCAGATATATAGTTTGGTCTAACGTATTTAATTTTCGTCTTACCACAATTAGTTTGCTAATTTAGGTGATACAGTTTAATCAAACGTAGCTAAGTGTCATAATCATACTGTAGAGCTTGACATTGCTAACTGGCCACATTAATCCTAGCCGATAAAAGGACTTCCAAACTTAACAGTTGGAAGTTAGTTGTATGTTAATCCGTTATTTGTATGTACAAATTTGCTCGTGTAGTCTTTCTTGTATTAAACACCGTCTAATACATTCTTATCTGTTTTGTTTGCAGAATAACGAAACATCGGAACTAGAAAATAAACCGGAGAACAAAAACATGTGTAAACGTGGTTGTGGCTTTTATGGAAGTGATCGGTTTAACGATATGTGCTCCAAATGTTATCAAGAAGAAATTAAGTGTGAATCTACTCTAGATCAGGCCACGCTTCCTCGTCCTACTTCACGTGATTTGAAGGATAGTCGAAAATCACAACACTTAGATTGCTGCGAAAATCCTCCTGATGATTGTGACGCAGTTCAGTCGGATTCAAGTTCATCTTCTCAAGTGTCTCGAGCACTTAAACGAAAAGCAGACTCTTCAATTATCGCAGAAACATCCAAAGGTGAGTCATCAATGCATTGCGACTCAATTTAATTCAATAAATTACTCTAAGCACTTTTTAATCTTACGAAGTACCGCCCATTTTCGGTTCAGCAACCACATGTGCAATGAAGAAGTTGTTCTTCGAGTTCCAGGTCGATAATTTCATCGCAGTAGACGTCCGAAACGTCTATTACGCATTTTTATACATTGTCTACGTGATCTGTCATTAAAACTACTACTACTTAAAAAAGTTATTCCTTTACTTTCCCAGTGGAACACAAGGCTTCAGCTTTGAGGTTTCGGGATGGGGTTGTTAGTCAGGTTAAAACGTGGCACCAATCCATGAAGTCATAAGCTACTGGTATGAATTTTGTGATGAGTTTTAACTTGCCTAGATGGGATCAACATAACCACCGAGATATATCGTCGGTAAATCTAGATATAACTAGTCGACTGCAGGGACTTAGATATGTAGTTGGCCTTTCTTTTATCTGTCTACCCACGTCGTCTTTCCTCTTTTTGTCTTATAGCATTACAACTTTTGGTGATTACGCCCATTTTCCTTCCTTTCTTTTACCCGCTACTTATTATGCAGTTATGAAATATGGCAACTCGAACCACACTATGTTGACAGTATCTGTAATTTTGTTATTTTTTTCTCTTTAACCGGTTCGTTCTCTGTGGGAGTAGTGTTGGTTTAGCAGTGCCTGAACTAATTATCTTATGCATTAATGAAGTTTTCTATCACTAATCAGTTCTTTATCTAAGGTTACTGATCATTTTAAGTTCAACCACCATTAAATTTACACTATTCTATTGGTGTACTGTTTGTAAGACAGGTGTAAAGGATAGTGTTTAGGAGTTTTCGGTTATTGATTTATTCAGTTGGCATTCAGATGAAATATAAACCCTGTAACTCTCTAGTTACTTAAGAATGAATTTCACAATTCCGATCAATAAAGTCTACCCTATTTAACAAAAAATGTATGGAACAGGTGAACGTGTTTTGAGTGAGTCATTCGATCAGAATATTTGAGTAGTAATATTGTTTAAAACTCATAGTTATGATTTTAGCTGCTGGATCCTTGGTTCCGATGCTATTCCACCTCCACCGACTCCTTTGTATTGTATTGTAAAAGTTTGACTTCTATTGTAGTACATAGAAAACTTTTGAAGTTGAGGTTTACATAAAGTTTCTTTTTGGCATGGATGACACCTGAGTGATGTTCTTGCGAGGAAAATTTCGGCTTCTTCTCAAAGAAGCCTCTTCGCAGGAACGGTAAGAGTAGTGTTTTACAGTCTCACTGATCTTCAGTAGCCCAAAGGACAAGATCTCACTTCAGATCTCTTCTGTGTGTATATAGGTTCACCTGTTGCTGTGGAAATTGACTACATTCGTCGTTCGACATGTATTCTGTCCAAAAGAGTTCAAGAACGCTATCCCGCATCGTTGCAGAAAGGTAGTAGTGCTCCTATAAGGAGTGCGATAGTAGAACATCTTGTCGAAACTAGTCATTACATCTCAACAAACGCCTCCTTCAAAGTAATCTACAAAGTGAAGAGTAACCTGCCAGAGTCGATGGGCTTTCATCTTCTTTGCATTTCTGAAGCTTTTGCCATACAGATTGAAAAACTCGAGCTATGCATTCAAGAGAAAATTATTCAACCACTTTTACTGTCCTAGTAACAACCAAGTGGATTTCTACTGTCTTCACTTTTTTTTAATTGTTTTCCTGACTTCTTATAACTTGTATTTCTTTACAACTCTTACATAATTCCATATTTTCCCTTCTTTCCATGTGCCTCCTGATCACAGTTTATTCATTGAATTATTCATCCTAATGCATAATTCTAATACACTCGTTCAACTACTTTTGTGCATTGACTAATATTGACAAGTGTACTTATCACTACTCATCATCACTCTTGTTACTACCCTCCTTCATGAAAAAATTGTATGTAAATGTGATTATACAGGTAGAGAAAATGAATTCGACGAAAACAGCCTCTTCGCTGAAGTGGTTTTATTTCTATTACATAATAAATGTCGTGATTAATTCATTGTAGCGGGGAACGACAGTGTTTCGTCATAATAAATTCATACAATTAGGGAATGGAAAATGAATAATTCAGTTCTAAGTTCTAGTACGTCTTTTGTGTGCAGTTACTATCGGCGTGCTAGGGAAGAACAGAGATATTTGGATTGAATGGTGTTTAGTGTACAGGCTGATACGATGGAGATAATGTCTGACTCTCATTAGATAATCGGACTGTGTTTTAGTTGACACTGTTTCTGTGGCTTTAGCTATGTAAAGAAGACTGACAAAGATTAGACAGTGATGTTTTAAGTGCATGACGTATTACAGTAAAGACTACACCTTTTCTTCACTTGTTCTTCATCTAAACATTCCACGCAGCGGATTGAGTTGAGTCTACATACCAAACATCTAAATTAAATCGTATTTGTAATTCACTAGCGTCAAGCTAAGGAAGTATCTATATTTAGTTTGATTATGCCAAGTATTATTCTCCTTTGAAGCCATCTTTTCTTTCTCACTAAAGAAAAGTGTAGATATGCAGGTATTTTGTACACCTCCTTAGGTTAAGTGAAGTGTAGTGTGATGATTGTCTAAGTGACTCAAAATTATATCACTACAATAGATATTTGCCGTAGACTACAGGTGTATTATATGTGTCAAGAGTGTAGCTGACCTTTTACCGTTTTATTCCTCAACGAATAATTTTTTTTGTCTCAGGACGGATAAAAAATGGCTTTTGTGACATTTTCCAACTTAAACCACCTTAGGCATAGACATGATATCTGATTGTCGACGAAAGAACGTGTCTACTGCGTACCAGTTCGCTCTCTTGTTCTTTATGACTTTGAGACATGATCATTGAAAGTGGGAGAACTGAAGAAGCTATCTGTCTTTGACCGTAGACGTTTACACTGCGTTTCCTTTGTTAATCGGTATAAGATAGTGAGTTACATCGAAGTGAGATCCAGGCTGTCAGGAATAGAGGCCAAGTTAATTAAGTAGGTTATAGAGCTACATCGATTCGAGATAACCAGAAAACGTGTTACACATGCCAAGTCATCCTTCCTTCAATTAGCTGTGTTAACTTATATAGGGCTGGGTTGTAAAAGAGTCAAATCGAAATATGGTGTCAATTCCTAATGTCTTTGACTGTTACTTAGGGGATTTAGACTTCCTGGTTGGAGTCCTCAAAACGCTAAGAACCAATGGCTTGAGATTGTTGGTGATATGGCTAGAAATCGTTTTCACTCTTTGTAATCGTTTAGACCCATGATATCCTCGCTATTATTCTCTACATACTTATTCTTTCTTCCGTACATTTTTATACATTGTAGTTCCCATGAATTTCTCCTTTACGTTTGTGTGCTATATGGAGTGTGGCAACTTGAGCTACTGCACTTTTGTGCACAGTTCTACATTGGAACTTAGTATTTTTGTAGTTTTGCTAGAAATGTATCTGTAAGTATAGGGCCTAGCGGAGATCCTAAAGTTTGATCCGTCAGCGAGGTTATGCATTTCACTACTAAACATGAACTGAAAACTAGATTCACATTTTAACAGTAGTTTTGTTAAATTCACAGTGACGATTTCAATGCTTACCTTTTCCTTTCTACCTGAATACGGTATTTGATACCATCGTTCGAGACGTATATATTTAGGCAGTATCTACCTATAGAGGACACATGAAAAAGGCCTGTTTCCCTAATGATAAATGAACTTTACTCGAACCCTTGTAGCCATTTAGTATTTAGTTAGTCTTATTGAGATTTGTCATCCGAAATAATAACTAGTGATTTTCATCAGGACTTTTCAACGTCACAGTGCTTATTCAATTTCATTGTGAAGTTGATTAGAATGTTTGCATTTTTCGTTATTGTTATTATAACATCTGTTTATTATTTATGCAAATATCAGTTTCTGTATTTTTCTTCTTCCCATCTGTTGTTCTCTTTAAATGTGACTATCTTTCGTTAGTGTGTTTTTCTCAGAAGGATATAAATAGATCACTGATATCCATGTGCTTGTTTATAGGAAATGAAAATGATTGTTTTTTTGTCCTTTTAGTCGAATCGACAGCATCCCGTTCTGCTCCTCGAGTAAATCGCTGTACCTGGTGTCGTAAGCGTGTTGGACTGACAGGTTGGTAATTGTTTTCAGTTTTTGTAATGAATTTATGCAAAACAAGTTCTCCAAGTTTTTATTACGGCGTTTTACAAAACAAAGTCTGAAATAAAAGTAATGTCTAGGAGGGTGTTTTTAGCAGTTGGTAGTATTATTTATTAGTGATTACGCGCTCTCTGAGTGAGTGAAACAAAGAACCGCAGTTGAACATCTTCATTGTATTTAGTTCTCTGCCATCACTCTCCACTGGCTGCATGACTACTCACATGGTTTTTTCATATCACCTTTGGACGCCGAACTCGTTACTTCCCATTCGGGTTCCTCTCCAGAGCATAACGTGTTTTTTTCTTCACGTTCCCAGTGAAACATAGGGCCTCAAGCTAGTGGCTTGAAGTTTCTGTAGCAGTGTTTAATTTTACAGGATGGGGTTGCTAGCCTCATGCCCATCCTTTCCTCTTTACCAGCATTATTTCTAGCTCAGTGGGGTAAAGGAGTGCGACTCTGGCTGGCGATCGAACCTCGAACCATGTGCATGGTCGGCGAGCGTCCTAACCGCTGTGCCACCGACGCAGAGTATGACGTGTGATAACACCTAAAGGTCTCCTCGACGTGCATCCAATTTTTCTCCATTTCTTTGTGTATTTTGTTGGGCAATCGGTTCTTAACTGCTCCATTGCCGGATTTCCTTGTTGTTTATTCTTTCTGGTTGGCCGTCTAATCTTCAGTGTCGAGTAACAGCACGTGTTGATGGAAGTATCCAATAATAAATAGCCTGTTGGAAATGCTTTCGGTGACGCCTATTGACTTAACATTAATTTTAAAAATTTAGATCTTATGCTAAATACTTTAGATATCCACATTCATTTTGGATGAATGAACGCAAATGTTGCTTTCCTCATTCCGGTTGACCTTAGCATCATCATCATGTGTACGATCTGTAGTTGAATTATAATACTGCATGTTCAGGTAAGTGAAAGATACAATTTCGTTTACATTCGTCCGATTATTGATGGTGAATGGGTGTTTGCTGTTGGTGGATGTTATGTACTGGTCGAGAATTCAATAGTCCTGACGCAAGAAAGACGGAAATCAGAAGACCACTAGGTTTGCGATGATACTTCTATTTTCCAAACACAAGGAGAATCAATATCACACAAGTGTGTGAGGGCAAAATATATGAATGTTCGAACAGGTGTGTGAAACAATTGTGTGAGCGAATATTCAAAATGAACAAATCAATAGACAATCTTAACATGATTGGCTAATTATAATGGAATATCGATCCATATATACCTAGCAAATATAACAGACTGTCAAACAAAACACACATATTATATGGATACATATCAGTGGAGTATCTTCATCATCTCTATCTCCTCTGTTATTCACTTTTTTTCTGGTTCTGTGACTCTTTCGACTTTTGATAACTAAATGATATCATCAATTCTGGCACATGATGGGTATCATTCGCTTCCATCTGGTACACAAATCTGCATTACTCCTTGTCTTATCAAATTCTTATCATTTTGGAACCGTTCCTGTATGAATTCACTTGCTTTTAATGGTATATGTTCAGTGTACACTGTCATTGCCTACTAAACATTACTGACTATTTTTAGTTCAGATTGTCTTTTCATTTGACAATGCAGTACGAGTAGTAAGTGATATCGGTTTATGAGTATAATTGAGAAGTTTTGCAGTCAACGGTAGTATGCGAATTTCATTTCGATAGTTACCTTTCAGTATTTTGCACAGTCGTATAATTTTTGCTAGCTACCAAGCACCACGTATTATGATCATCCAATAGGCCGAACTATGTGAGTACAAAATAGGTATGTTGTAGTACAAAAGCTATGTCTTCACTTTATCTGACAAATGCGGTCTAACACATCTGCATAGCATTGGAGAAGTACTTTGGAACGGTCATTCTGATACGAATAGAACTCGTGTACTACATTCCTTTTAATGATGTTTATAATATTCATATTAAGTGAGTAGTTAATTTTTAATAAGTCTAGTTTGTCACTAGTGTTTGTTTTTGGTTCATTTCAGGTTTTGCTTGTCGTTGTGATGGACTATTCTGCTCATTACATCGATACTCTGATCAACATGAATGCGCCTACGATTATCAAGCCAATGGTCGGCTTGAATTGGCTCGCGCCAATCCAGAAGTGCGATGTCCTAAAATTCGCAAACTGTGATCAGGAGCATAGCTTCTGACCCCTAAATCCAAACCTTTGATATTACCTTCATTCTTGAGACATCCTTCAGGACAATTATATATATATATATATACCAACTTTCATCACACTAATTTGTATCTTTCTATGTTTAGCCTGTATGTTTGACTTCTTCCTACACCGATTGTCTTTGCAAATTTCATTATAATCATCTTTTAAGTATATAAAAGTAACTAATTTGTTAATAGCCAACTATCGCATCTATCGCATTTTGTCGCTGACTTTCTTCTCTTAAATGTGATTACATCACCATTTGCGCTACCCACATATTGTTTTGTTTCTTTTCTCAATACTTTTGAATTGTATTTTGTTTCCCACTCTGTGAAAAAGAACACATCTCTTTGCCAAAAACAAACAAACAGACAAATAATTAAAACTGTACGTGATAAATAACTGATGTGCACCATTCGAAAACTCGTGTTGACGATGATGATAGCATTGTGATCGGTGGTTTTTGTCACTGGACCCACTTCCCGAACTTCTTGTTTGTATGGGTAAGAGTTTGAGTGAGTGAGTGTGGCAGTGGTGATGGTGGTGATTATTTTTGTGTGTGGTCAAGAGGTCAGTTGACATCTAAGTAAGTTCGTGTGTGTGTGTGCGTGTATCTCTTTGATTTTGCCTTGCCTTCTCATTCATTTTTAGCCTCTATTTTATGAATTACATTAAAAGTATTTACATATTACAAAAAAAATAGTAGGATTCTTGTAAGCAGCGAAGTTTATTGCGTTTTTTGTTTTTAGTTAATGCACAAAATATAACAATTTGTACAATCTTTATGTTTGGATATATATACATTAGTTAATTAATTAATTGTGAATATCTGAAGTGCATATGTATGTGGAACTATGTAAATGATGTGTTGTGTGTGTGTGATATATTATTAGGCGCGCTTGGTGGAGAGACGATGGCAACAACACATGAAACAGTAGACTTGATATTTTAATTTTGTTCAGCTTTTGTCCATCTCCTAGCGCTCTCTCTCTCTGCCTATCTCCCTATGCATATACATTGTATCCAACTGTATTTATCTGTTTTTCTATTATATATTATTAATAAATTGGATTTATAATCCGTATTTCAGTGACTGTATGTTTACAGAATTTCAGTAATATATTGCGCATATATCATACATACATATACATATATATACATACATATATTCTGTCACAATCCATTTCTTTTGTTTCCTTTTCATTGTGTATCTGTATTTATGTGTATGTGTGTGCGCGTGTGCGCGCGCGCTCCGTCTTGATATGAGCGGTTTTGGTTTTTAATGAAACGGAACATTTTTTATCTTTATCATCAGTTATTTCTCTCTGTGTGTGTGTGTGTGTGTGTGTGCAGGTTAATCCATTTTTAAGCTGTTTAAGGTGAAATAAACATTAAATATGTGTTTACACTCCCAAATTTGCTTATATATATATGGAGCTTGCCATTTTGTTCTTAGCTGTTTATTATGATGACGATTGTGATGATCACGGGGACTCATGAAAATCTTAGCGCATGTCAAGTTGTGACCAGGATGTAGAGGAGGGTGTTACAAGGAGGACACCAGCAATGGCTGACCTGGATGCGTCGGTGGTAGATAGAAATTGAGGGTTAGGGTCCGTGCAGCAATCACCTGGGATTAGTTTAACTATTCTTTTTGAGATATAGTTTGAACTGCTGCACGCATGTGTTGTAAAGTTCTCTGCTTGCTAGTCAAGGGTCTATCGACGTGAAGATACGTTTATTGTTATTGTTTGGGGAGAAGCTGAGGATATTAGTTCAGCTAAGTTGAGTGAGTATAGTAGTTGGGAATAAATACTTTACAAAGAGTCTGATATAAGGGAATAGCCTCTATGGTAATTCACAGCTAGGCAGGTTAGTACTAGTAATAGTGGAAAACAACAGGCGAAGACGTCAGATTGGTTTCAATTATCTCGCTAGGTCTAACTTCTGGGCTTACATAATATGCGTTTTCATCATATTTCACATCGATCATCGTACTTTTCAACATATTAAACCTGATGGCGAAAGACTATGTTGACAGTCTATGGTGAATAGCACCTCTACTGTATTTACGAAATGTTTCTAAACTATTTTGCGACATAAGAAATGCTGCAGCGCTGAGTTCTTCGATATTTCCTGGAGAAATTAAGCATTTCAGTTTTTGACTGTCTAGCGTTTAGAAGATAACCTTATCACTGTTTGCCGTATTTTGATTGAGCGGGAATGACTTCTTAAAAATCTAGACCCCGTTACACACCATGTATATACTGTTGGGTGATATGAGTAGATCTGTCTGTCTGTCTGTTTTCGACATAGAACTTTACACCGATGTGCAGCAGTTCAAGTCGCCACACTCCATGCGGCACACGAAGCAAGAGAAGAAAGTACAAGGAATGCATAATAGAGACAGTAAGCAGAGGTGTGAGACAAAGGATGAGTAATAACGAAGAACAAAACAGTTTCATTGGAAATCATAAGTCACGAGGAGTGGATGCATCTGCGCCACTGAGAACGATTTTGAGCCATGTCACCAATTGTTTCCAACCATCGGTTTTTACCGTCCCGAGGACCCCAACCAGTCAGGAGGTCTACACCTTCCTACGTGGCTTAGACCAACTGTTGTAGATTTCATTGACTGGTGCCATGTTTTTGTTTGACCGCCGCTAGCTTTTTTCCAGCCTGACCCTATATCCGCTAATATTGCTCGTCGAGGAAGGCGATGACTTGGCATACGTAACACATGTCCTAACCATCTCAGTCTTTGTAACTTCACGACTTCGTCGATTGATTTCCCCTGTTTACCTAGAACTCGACCTATGCCTAACCTCAATATTGCTCACCTTATTATGCCACTTCAAACGGGAGATAGAGTGCCGGCACCTATGATCAAAGACAGCTAGTCTTTTCATGTCTTCCACTCTCAATGGCCAGGTGTCACAACCATAAAGGGAAGAACCTACACAAAAACAGCAGTAGTACTCCCTACACACTGGCTCGTTTGATGTTGAAACCAGTCCGCTGGGAATTCACAGGTCAGAAGACAAAACTGTTAAAATCAGTCGAATTCTAATGTGCGTACCTCTCTCTCTTCCTTTAAATGTATTACACTATAGCTTATTTTGTTCAGTCTTGACTCCATTTTTTTCTGTATGTTGTGTATGCAGCAGGTAGTAACACTTTCGTTACATTTGACAATTCAGTACAATAAAGTGAAGGGAAAATTCCAAACGCTCTTTCAAATTGTTAATGTCATAAAAGTAAAGAAAAACTTCAGGTGTTGTGCAAAAAAGCCGAATTCATCGAAGTCTGCAGTGTTGCTTTTTTTGGTTCATTCTTTTTTTCATTGAGGGATGCAGACACAACTTTTTCACGGGAGATTTTTTTTATCAGCCTAGGACTCTACCAAAATTTGTATCAGGACTTGCTATTAGCAGATTTTTATTGCAGTTTAACTGTTTTAGTTGTCTGTACTCCTTAGTTAAGAGACCATAGACATCTATTAGTGTTAACGTAATGATATCAGTATGTTAAGTATGGTCGACTGAAAGTGTTTGAACTTCTTATTGAGAGACTGAGATTTGGTCAATCATATTTTCGAACTGAACACATGAAGTTGGTTGACGGTTTGATGAATTACATTTCAAAACTTCTATCCTATAGATTGAACCTGACGAGTAGTAGTTGAGCACAAAGTTCCTTACGATAATTAAGAAACTTATGTTAAATTTCGATTGGCTTTTAAGGAACTATTTTTGTGGACTTGGTAGTAGCCACTGTAACCTAACTCGTTCAAATAATGAACAGGATCCTTGTGACAGTTACCATTAGTTCCTGATACACTCGGAATGGTAATGGGGTCAATTTAGTTCCTTGCATACTATTTGAGTGACTTAGCGTCCGGTTAAATGTGATTTCTGTCCAGCATCTCACAAACATTGATGATTGGTTTATACATTAAAAAAGCGAACCTTTTCATTCACTTGAGGCATTATTTTCTCAGTATAAGACATTCAATTCCTTTATTATCAATCAAATGGTCTTCACTACTTTTCAAAACGCGAAATGTACTCATTTTGTTTAACAGTGGTACAAAAGTGAATTACCTGAACGAAGCATGTTCTTCACACCAGTCAGTCAGTCTAAAGATGCGTTTTATTCATTCATAAATTAAGCGATTCCCTAAAGATAATGAATGGTAGTCATGTTTGTTCTTTCTGTTATTGGAGTCTTAACTATCCATCCACACAAGTGGTGAGCCTGGTTCAATGAATTTCTCTCCGCTATGATTCCAAGTTTTTATTTGTTTTTAAGTTTAATTAGTAGTATTGCCATTTCCCCTTGACATCATTCTGTTTTATCGATCCCTAGTGTGATACCCATTGGTTTTTGTCGCCACGTGTTTTTGCTGATTTCATTTGAATTATTTCTAAAAATACTTCATTATTATGTAGCCAGGGATATGAATTTATTACTTCTAATACGTTTTGTCTTATCTTTTGACTAATCACTTTTTCTTGGTATTTCTGTTGACTTTGTTTTATTTGTGGTGGAGGCGATCTTTTGATGCTTTTGTTGCCTTGACTGTTCAATCGCTTCAAGCAAAAAATTGCACATATCTGAACTCAGTTGCCAGAACAGGTTTTTCATATTCTCAGTTATGAGCCAAACTTATTGTATGAGGGCTGTTTATATATATTGTCCAGGCTGAAATAGGTGGAGCGGTATTTATATCCGGAGCGCATTGTGTTAAACTTGAATGCTTAATCCTACTAACAGCGTCTCCATAAACTTACGGATAGAGTTTTAGACAAATGACAACTATACATCTCATCCAACAGTTGTACGACAATGCTGCACTACATGTCAGGTAATCCACAACGCGAAACTTACAGAATCCTTCGAAGTGAGGACGGCAAGGCTGCCGACTATCGCCAATAATTTTCCTGATTACAGTAGATTGGATAATGCGACAAACAGCGGGCAAGGAGGAAACAAGCATAAAATAGACTCACACAAAAAAACTAAAAGGATCTGGACTTCGCCGATGATATTTGTCTGATTTCCCACAAACTGGAAGATATGCCAGTGAAAAGCAACATGTCGGTAGAAGAAGCATCAAAGATAGGACTTAAGATGAACATAGAGAAAACAGACATAGGTGATGAGGATTCCCGGCCCACAGCAATAACAACATCAACAGACAACAATTAGCATAAATGGAATGAACCTGAAAGAAACAACCTCCTTTACCCGCCTGGGAAGCATCGTTTCAACTACAGGCGGACGGAACTGACGAAGATATCAAAGCCAGAATCGGAAAAGCAATACAAGCTTTCATCACTCTCAAGTCTGTGTGGAGGTCAACAGAACTCACCATCAAAACGAGTATAAGATCCGGATTTTCAACTCCAATGTGAAGCCAGTCAGTGCCACTCACTATACGGATCAGAGACTTGCACTGCGCGTCATAAAGAGCATCTCACACAAACTTCAGACCTTCATTAACAGTTGTCTTCGCTCAATACTACTCAAGATCAGATGGCCGGCCAGAAAAGATCAGCAACAGGGATGGATCTCTGGCATTGAGCAACCCAACCCAGCAGGAGCCGATTGCGCAACAGATAGGCAGGAATAAATGAAGATGGATTGGCTGGGCATACTCTGAGGAAACGAGCCATCAAGTGACATCACTAGACAAGCCATTTCTCGAGTGAAACCAGGCCGAAAGGGAAGCGGCGAGTTGGTCGTCAATGCAAGGGTGACTTGGAGGAAGTGATGTGAAGAGGAGATGAAAGCGTGTGGGCAGACTTGGAGCGGGGTGAAAACGTTGGCAGAGAACCGAAGGCAATGGAGACGCGTGGCTGAAGCCCTATGTTCCTCTAGGAATCAAAGGAAAAAATAATATAATATAATAGTTAACATATTCTGTCTGTCTCTGTCTGTTTTCGACACAGGACTTTGCACAAATGTGCGGCCGTTCAAGTCGCCACATTCCGTGTAGCACGCGAAGCAAGAGAAGAAAGTACAAGAAAAGCATAATAGAAACAGTGAGCAGAGGTGTGAGACAAAGGAGTAATAAAGAAAAACAAAACAGTTTCATTGGAAATCATAAGTCACAAGGAGTGGATGCATCTGCGCCACTGAGAACGATTTTGAGCCATGTCACCAATTGTTT